ACACGAGTAGCATTGAACTTCAATCAATATGACATTAAATGAGTGCATAAATAACACAAATGTATTTCAGAGGCAAAATCTCTCGTTCATTTTTACGAGGAAAAAAATATTGTTTTCAATTGGTCATGCCGCCCGCTACCCCCACTGGCCCACCATGTAACTATAATGTTAACATATGTCATACGAATTTCTTCATTATCTACATAATATTATGTTTAATTTAATTAAAACGAAATTTTACAGAAAATCGATAGTGCTTTTTTACCCTATGAGATAGCATTTGCAAGAACTTTGAGCATGTCAACCAAATAAATATGAAAACCAATGGAGATTGAGAAAAAAGGTCAAAACATTGTTAGCGTCATGAAGTTGGATCGATAAACTTATTACAAGTTTTTCATTTTTTTCATGTCTCTCGATAGGTTTTAATTTGAGCTAGAGATGGCAACGGGGCAGGCACCCCCCGCCACTCCCCCACCCCATCCCGTCCCGCCCCTCCACGCCCCACCTTAGACGGGGCGGGTTCGGGTTGCTGGCTTGCCCCGTTTATTTTTATTTTTTTTTTCAAAAATTTTCAATTAATTATTTTTTGTTTTTAATTTGTAGTTAATTATTTTTTTATTCTTCACGGGACGGGTTATGGGTGTCCCGCCCAACCAACCAGTCGGGGCTGGATGGATTTTTTTGCCATCACTAATTTGAGCATGATAGAAAGTTTTGCCTTGAAATTGGAATGAAATAAGTAGAATCCACCATTTTACCTTCTTTCACCTTTTACTCTTGCCAAACACACCCTACTCGTCGTTATGAAATCTGAGTGCTGTGGGCCATCAGGACAGTGAACCGTGGGCCCACAGAACACAATCATATTGTGGGCCCTAATGTGCATATGTAACGTAGTGCAAACAACTAAAGAGAATTATTGCTTGATTTACTCTAATTGACAGAATGATTGTGTGTGTTTAGTCCAAATACTCACCAAATGCACCCTACAATCCACTATTGCACATGTTGTCCAATAAAATTCCAAGGACCATTCTTTGTGTATGTAAAATTTTTTTTTTTGTCAAATTTACAGATCACACACAACACAGGTGGGACCCGCATTTTTTGGAATATTTTATTGCCAATGGGACCCACATCCATGTGACGCATATGATGGAGTTCTATGAATTT